TGAGGACTGAAGTTGCTTGTACTCTAGTCATGCTGCCTGCCACGACCAGTGGAGTTGAGGTACAGTCTCGCTCTTGCTGTACTCAAGCACAAGGTTGGTTCACATTTATCTTCCAGGAATCTCCCCATTTCAGCAGTGTGACAGAGTGTGCCCTTGCGCAGTGCTGGGGATCCAGCGTGGGTGGAAGACACAATATGTTGCGCATTCCATAATGTTCATGCTGCGAGCACCATCATGCACCTCCTGGTAAAACCGACTGCTGCCACAGAAAGGCTTAACAACTGAAACTTAGCATTCTTCAATAACCACCATACCGTCAAATATGGGAAGAGGAAGGACTGGTGTTAATCTGACATTACGTACATCAGCCTTTCACTACCTTTTGCTTTTATGGGCTCACAGAGCAGGAAACGCGTACATGCAAAGGTGCTGACTGAAAGAAGGCGGTACATTACTGGAAGTTTCAGGTGGTACGAAGCAGGCAGCACAGAGGATTTTCCATCAGAAGCAAAGAACTAGCCACAACATTTACTACAACTGTTGCACCCTCCTCTTTGATTCTTCTGTTTTCTTTCTGATTTTTATTTGCACACTTTCACTTTGATCATACTGAGGGTTTGATCTCTCTTACCCCATGGAAATTCTGATACAATTCTTTTTAGAGGAACATAGTTAGCAAGGCACCCTTAGGTATGAGCTCCCATAGCCACACAGGAACTGGATCAACCGTACACATCAGAAACAGGTCTCTGCTGATGCAAGTACTGTGCACAACAGAAAAGGTGAGAGGCAGAGGGGTAGAAGCAAACCTCAAAAGCAGATTAATCATCATTTCAAAAAGCAAGAGCACAGGTTTTGTATAACGTATGCCACTAAGAGTTGATGAACAAAGTGCATTTTCAGTGATGCAAAACAGGAGATCAAGATCTAATATATTTGTGAATGGCAATAGTAATATCAGCAGTTTTTAGAATAGGCTGTCCAAAAAAGATTTTGACTGCGGTACAGATAGAAAGTCCTATGGTATGGCATATATATATAGACCAATGGCAATAAACCACATATACAAATACACATCCACTGGGAATCAAGGAGGGGTGGGAAGGCCAGAGGCAACAAGGGGCTTTCATTTAGTGCATTGAGAGCAAATGCATTCTGCCTTCCAGTCTAAAAAGCATGTACACAACCAAAGACACCGTTACAGATTAGTCCAATAGAGAATATCAGCAGTATAATGGCTAGAGTTGTATATTACAGATCTCAAAGCCAAAGAAATTCTTTGCATAGCAGCACTGTGAGAATGGCATAAGTTCTTGCATGCTAGGAAATTTAGGCTTGGTCCAGAAATAACAAAACTCTAAGGGAAATGGCCTGCCTGCTGGGTTGCTGTAGGTCTTTGCTAAAATGCTGTTGAAGCCATTTGGATACAAAATCCCTATTTACAGAAAAAAAATTTAAATAGACAACTAGAGAAATAAATTGGTGCTCTGAATGCTCTGGAAAATTATGTTACACTGATTGCCAATTCTTTGCTATATGTAACAGCTAAAACTCCCTTACAGTATGTGTAGTAATGAAAGATAATTGTGTTGTTGCTGCAGAACAAGCAAAGTTCATCCCTTCAGCAAGATTTTAAAGATATATGTCTATCACTAACACTGGAAATACAAAACATTTAGCAGAAATATACTCTGAGTTTGAGGAATGATATCCAGAGGTTTTAAGGGAAATTTTTTTCCTCTACTCCTGCCTCTAGCAGAGGCTCTGAGTCAGGTCAGTTTTCTAGCCTTCAGGTGGCCTTCTATGTTGCATATGTAGATAAGGTCTGACAGACTCTTCTCCATGCGTTTCTACCCTGCCGCGCTCCTCCCTAAAAAGGTCTCAGGGAAAGATTATGGCTCCATCTTCCAGCGTGAGGGAGAACGATGCTTTCGGTCAAGTAAGTACCAGCCAGCTGATTCCCACTGACATCCCCGTTTCAGTGGGCAGTTGACTCTGTATGTGCAGGGAGTTTTGCATTTATTTCAGTACTAAAGCCCATAAACATGCAATAAAGAGAGTCTTAGACTTGTTCAGAGCACAAGAAGAACCTATATCTGCATTAAGACTTTAGACAGTGTATGGAGGAATAATATTAAAAACCTATTTCAAAAACGGGCTTACAAAACTCACCACTTCCATAGGTGACACTAGGATTAATAGAAAGGTCAAGTTACACTTAGATCATTTGTGGTTCTTGCATGAGTGAGGGAGGGAGAGTGAGTGAGTGAGTGAGTGAGTGAGTGAGTGAGTGAGTGTGTGTGTGTGTGTGTGAGTGTGTGTGAGTGTGTGTGTAAGTGTGTGTGTGTGTGTGTGAGTGTGTGAGTGTGTGTGTAGAGTCTCTTGCTTCTGAGCTTCCAAGGTAACTATATTTCCTTGTCAGACATAACATGGGGGGACCTGAAAGACCAACGGAGCTCTTCCCCCTCTAGCAAATATGTGCAATAAAGCCATTACTGTGGTTCAGTACTGACAGTTCTGGGAACTAAAAAATTCACCACAGCGCACTGGCTCTGTTACGGGTGCAGTTGAAGAGAATATTTAAACAGTGTCAGTGGCAATTTTCTAAAATTGGTATGTCCAGCTAGCCACCTGCAGACCAAAATCACCAGTTTTGCTACTTTTGGGCATCAGAACCAATGTCTGTAATTAGACGGACACAGAAAATCTTGACAAAATGGACTTGTCCTTGACCTGTTAGTTTATTTCAAAAACCTTCTGTTCATTAAACTTACATACATCAGGGAATGTCGTAGATATTTGATCCTTTCTCTGTTATTCAACAACGTGATATATGTCAAAGGCGATCAAAGAAACTGAAGGGAACTAAAGAAACACCTTCACTGACTAATCAAGGGAAATGCTTTCGTAGTTACATACTTCAAACGGAAGTGCACCACCATTTTTCAGACCAAAACTGCTTAACTTTACCATGAAGGTAAGTTTAAAAAGTTTTATTGCAGTCACCACTGACTGAAATGAAGAATCATATTTTTTTACAGTTCTCTCATATTACACTTTCCTCAGCCTTACGCATTTAAAGCTGCTCAGCTACTTAAGCATTTAAAAGGTCAATTTGCAAGGCATTTTGGTTTGCTAATTTCCACAGTTAGATAGAATCGTAAGCCATATTCCAAATTCACTATGAATCATCTTTAATTTTTCTAGTTCTAAGGAAGTTAATGGAGTGCAATCCCTAAATTAGGGCAATCAGGCAAATTTATAGCACTCAATTTTTCACTCTAGCACACAGATTTTTGTCTCTATCCAAACTGTATAAAATTTCTTCAAGATTTTCTTCAAGTTTTTCTGTCCTTGTATCTTTTCCAGTAATAACTTTGCAATAATGTCTGAGTAACTTTTGCTGAATTGTTGATCTGTTTGAAGCCTTCGTATATTGTTGTGGGATTTTCCCACCACACACACCTAGAAAGGACCAGAAGTCTAGATTGGGCAAATTACTCTGAGCATATTTTTGCCATGCAGGCAGCCACAATGGCATGATAAGGTGGGATTTATGGCTCTACTGCCTGCTCGCTCCAATACTGGCGTGCCTGAACAGTTACTGATACTACTATACAGGCCACATTGCTCAGAACACATGGCCTCCTGTTTTCTGTCTGCAAAACCAAAGTTGTACAGAGGAAAGAAGAATAAGGCCCTAAAAGGAAGGGAAAAGGCGTGGACTCTCAACATGACCGGAGTAAGACAACAGATCACTATCAAATTAAGCACAATTAATTTTCCCTATATTGCCACATATACAATTCACTAGGACAAAAGCCTACACTCTCTCTGAAATCCTTTTTACATTCACATAAGAAGATGTGCACATTAATGGATCCTGGGATGATTTTTGAAATTCCTTTGAACACACTATGTTTCTCCAGGAGAAGAAGAAAAGTTGCAAGACAAGATCAGGCTGATGTTGAAGAAGTGCCTTTTTACTCCTTTTAACCTAGACATGCTGTTTAAAGGGAACATTTATCATCATTACCACACTATGCATCCAGCCTAGAGAAGGGTGCAAACATTCCAGGATGAAGGATACTGTCTTTCTGAAAGTTCAGCAAGAGTCTGGGTAGCATCCATATTTCTTTCACGCTGTGGGAAGGAACAAGCCAGGCTCTGTGCACGTCATTCAGATGGCCCATAATAGCGAGTCAAGTGATGGCAAAAACATACTTCCAACGCCATGTGTCTAGGATTTCGGGCACCATTGTGATCATACCTCAATGCAATATTTCTAGGTGCAGCTTGTTGCCAGAGTGCAAGTAAACTTTGTAACTGACTGCCACGAGTCAGTCCGGGAGCAGTAAATGAGCAAGTGGCTCAGGCACTCTAGTCTAGGAGAAGAGTAAAAAAGGAGTGTGGCTGCAGCACTGGGAACAACGGTCCTTGTTCTCCTGCCTTGACTGAAAGTAAACAAGTCCATTGTTATCTGACTTTGCCAAACCTCAAAGTATAATGCTAGAAGGAAAAATAAGTTTTACAGAATTGAGCATATACAACCCTTTTCTTCCCTTCATAAATTGTATGTTACACTAGTTGAAACTACCAAAGTGTTTACAGTATGCTATATATATAATGGCACATTTAAGCTTTTTAAAGGGATTGGAACATTTCAGGAATGTCTCTGGTGCTGAAAAAGGCTAATGTATTACAAATCATATAGTATTTTAATTCAGAAAAAATATGTTTAGGTATTTTGACCTAGCATCATAAGGGTTAGGAAACCGAACGAGGATGCCATGAAGCATGACTGATGAATCAGTCGAGCTAGTCTGCTTCAAATACATATTGTGCAAGGCATTATCGCTGCAATCAGTCACAAAAATGCATATTTAGTTTTTGTACATTAAATACTACACCTGTGAACCTATGTAAAAGATATACAAAATATAAATGTCATCAGGACTGTATATTTCAAACTTTTTAAAATAAACACGAAGTATATATATATGTAAGCATATAGGTTGTAATTTCAATGTCAACACTAGCACAGTTTGTCTCTTCTAAATACAGACCTGTATACTTCCTAGTCCAACACATGCACCTACGAACACATGATCATGCATACAGCTTTACATTCTGCTGTTTGCAGAAGAGTCAGAATATACAGCACTATACATTGTTTCAACTCAAAATTGATTGGCAAATTAAGGAAGATGCCATTCAAAAGAAATTCCTTGTGAGCTATTACCAAAAAAACAAGAGAAAACCAGGGGTATAGTTATTTCATCTCAATAAAAACACTGAAGACCATGGTGATGATGACCTAAGATTCAAAACGCTTTGTCCGGCATGTGGTGGGGGTCACTCTTGGACAAGATACAACAGTGTAGAACTGGTTGCTATAACACATACCAAACACAGTTATAATGCGGCATAGAGCTTTCACAACACCATCCAACCCAGCTCTGGGTTCAGACTACTGAGGTCTCTGACCGAAAGGAGACAGAGCAGTTGTACGCTGTTCTTCTCACAGCAGGCGGTGCTGATGGTGATCTGGATGCCCATCTGGAAGGTAAGCGCCGATTTGCTGGCCGAGCGGGCCGAGAGAAACCCTTACCACTTGAACATTTAGCTGGCACAGATACCTAGAACACAAAGGCAATTCCTTGCTTTAACAAGTTACGGCTTTTGTGGAATGCAGCGGGAATGTAGGAAGACATTTGGGGTGACCTCAGAACAGGTGGTCTGAAGCTATTAAAAGGAGCACAGTAATGCGCAGAATGCAAAAGAACAGCTATTTCTATGTATAGGGTTTCTCACATCAGTTGCGGTTTAAAATATATGGAGACAAGTGTCAGACACAAGGACAGGTATAAAATGTTAATGCAAGCCAAAACTGACATTCACTTCTCATTTCTTTTCATTTTTGGAAGTTTTTCTGTCAATGAACACTGTATACTGTTCTAAACATAGAATATGATCTTACACTACAGGAGTATGATCTACATACTTTTCAGGTATTTTTTGATAGATCCGATTTCAGCAGTCACATCTTGCTAAGAACTCTGTTTCCATTAGAGCAACGTGAAGCTGTTTACACTTGGTAACTAATTCAGAATGGTTATGTATTAATGCGGCGTCATGTCTACATGCAGAGCCTTATATACACAGGAAAACCAACAGATTTTGATCATAGCTACAGTGATGTAAATTGGAAATAATGAAAATAAACCAAATGCTTCATGCAATGTGTAGTTCTTTACATCTTTGTGACGTGAATGCTGCTGGACCTAAAACAGTACCCCCTAATCAGGCAATATTCTACACTTAGTTTGTACAGATAGAAATGACAACATAAAGTGTGAGCCTATGGAGAAAAAAAATCCAATTGGCTTAGTAAAGTTATTCTGGACTTACATCAATGTAAACTCAGTCATTATCTACTCATTATTTCTTCCCTACATATTCATTGATGAAAATTTGTTTTCCTATCAAAAATTAATTGGATGAAAAAGAAATCAGAAGCTTCATGGTTTTTTCTTTCTGTGCTGTAGTAAAGATGTGTCTGCTAAGCAAGATATTGCATCACTGCAAGGCTGTCAAAGACATGCAGAAGAAAATCTGCATAGTCGGATTCTCAGCTGTTTAAATCCACATAGCTCTACTTAAGTCTGTGAATTTGTGACAGTTTAAAGCATACCAGCTGACAGTCTGAAGCCATTTAAGTTTCTCAGCTTCAAACACATTTGCCTTCTCTTTTCTGAGATGCTAAGGGGCATAACTCTCTGTTCATTGGCAAAGGAGCTCTTCAGGAAAAATTACTTTTCTTTCTTTGTGGCCTTTTATAGAACCTGCAACTTATAGTGTATTTTCAAAACCATCTGTTTCTCTTTTCATTAAGAAAGAATGTTGGCAAAGGTAATATTTCTAAACTTCTGCAAATAAATTTCAGCCAAATCTAAATTAATTAATCACACCGTACTCTTCTGTTTCTGTGAGCCTATGCTTGAATATATAAGAGAAGCCTGGAGCTGATACATGAGTAAGAGGATGTCACTTTATTACTGGAAACTTTATGGAGCTACAATACCCCTTTTCATAGGCAGTTCCAAGGAAATCCTGAACCAAGCAGCACCCTGGATGCTGAAGAATGCTATCTAGGCCCTCTAGGATTTTGATATGGCCAAGTGTGCTTAAGCCTTTTGGGAAGGCTTAAGAAATAACTTGTCAGCTAAAGGAAGGAGCAAGGGAGTTAAAACCTGATTGTGATTCTCACTAATTCAATCCTTGAATAACTGCACTGCAGTTAAAATCTAGCTTTACACAACAGCAGCAGAGATCAGAATCTGGCACACCTCGTCACTGGTCATTCTTACTCAAATGCTTCTGCCCTCCCTCAGCTCTATTATCTTTAGGGGAAATGCTCCTGATTCATCCAGATCCTGGCCTAAAGTGTCTATTTTTACACAATTATTTACAATATCATGTTAGCCTGACTCATTTTAGAATCTGAAGCTTGGTAGGAAACTGAATTATTTTGTTCTTGCTATTCGTATGAACCTTACCTCTGGTAACTTCTGTCTCTCTTTTCCTTGCTTGAGTTGCTGCCCAATATGCCTGGCTGAATTCCTCGGAAATTCTTGCTTTCCTTGCTCAATCTGGAGCATTTCTAAATACTGACTCAATGTCTCACAACTCCCATCGGTGAATTCAGAATTTGCCCGTGTCCAGTTATCTTTGTAGCATTTCGCATTAGATGGAGAAGTCACTGTGCATTTTTCATAGTTTTTCAAAAGCTTTTCAACAACACCATAGTTCGACCTTGAGTCAGCTGAACGCGGGCGACCGGATAAATTACTTGGTCTCCAGTCATGCTCATGAAGCATGTGCCTATAACCACTAGTATTTGGAAGTCCATTTATTTGCTTTTGTTGCCCTGCCGTTCTGACAGCTTTGCTGGCATTGCCAGTTTCTTGCTCCTTTGCTGCAGAGAATTTGGGATTTGAAACACAAGATGTATTTACAGTTTCTGTCCTGCTAGTAGCAGAGTCACACAGTGGGCCACAAGGTTTGTGATCTTCTGATGCTGTTCGAGGCACCTGGTTTTCTTGCAAAGCATTATTACGTTTATCTGTGTGAAACACAATCCGGTTAAACTCATCGATCTTTGCTGCTAAAGTTTCATTTCGTTGGGTCTTTCCCAAAGTATACCTAGAGTCTTCCAAAAGATCATTGTGCAGGGTAGCAGGGGCATACAAGTCATTACTGTAATAAGGGCTGCTGTGAGACTTGGGATTTTGTTTCTGGTGCATCTTGTTGCTTTGGGCCATATTTCCGTCTGAACAACTCTTCTGGGCTGACAGCAGGGAAGGTACACTTTTATTGTCTTTTCCAAGTTTGCCCACATCATATGCCCATGTGTTGTGGCAGAAACTTGTTGGTACATTGCACTCATTTTTGGTTACAGGTATTGCAGCAGTTACCATCACAGGACCTTTCGCAGCCTGCCCTTCATTTGCACAGGCTGCTGCAGTTTCATTCTGGTTTATAGGTGAAGGATTCATCAGTTTCCTTCCACTCCTACAGTCCTGAGCCTTGCAATTGCTTTGGATGCCTGGATCTCTTATTGGTGCTTCAGAAAGCTGCACAACTGCAGAAAGTGAGTTTGTTAGTTGCCGAGAAGTGCTCCGTGGAGGAACTGGTGGAGCTTCTTTCTTTTGCCAAGCTCTGAAGTCTGTTCCTCTGTCACCAGTAAGACCACCATAAGACATGTCCTTCAAAGCCTTGGTGGAGCTCATCAGATTCTTCCTATTATTATGTTCCTCTCTTTCAAAAGCAACTGAAGTCTGTGATTCATTGCTGGACACATGGCTCATCTCAGGCGGAATGACTGTGTTTTGGGTTTCCTCAGATTCCCCCAGGAAAGGAAGTGACTTCATTCTGGAAATAAAAGGAGAGGTGTTTTAGGGATAAGCAATAAGGGTATTCCCCCAGGGGACCTCAGCATGGATTCATTCTCCCCATGAGCAAGTATTTTAACACTGGCTGCTTAAAAAGATTTGGGAGCAGTTTTGCTGCAGCTGATACACCCAGCATATTTGAAACATACATGAAGAATTCGAAGAAAGCTCAACAGAGGGAATCTTGTATTCCTTTCCCTTGCCACTAAAATTCTTTTTCTGAGTTTTTTGTAGATGATTGCTTGTGTTCTTACCTACCCTACAGTAAGGACAGTGGGATCTTGTGAGTTCTAATGACTACAGTGAAAGTCTACCTGATTATGAAGTGAATGAAGAAAGCTTTAGGACATAGTGCATCCCTTGTGTAAGTTTCCTAACATTATGCATGACAGTACAAATGTGTCTTTTGAGATCTGTTCAAAAATCACCTTGCTCAGCCAGGATTTAGAAACTGTGCATCAGCGCTGAATCTATTTGCTTTAAAGATACAAACACTAATGCAGCTACAATAATAAATTAGCGACAGACAGCCAACTGATTGCATGGGGGAGTGTAAGGAGTCCCTCTGCTCTTTGAGAGAATCTGAGAAGAGCTTGCCATGATGCAGTCTTCCATGGGGTCCCAGCATAGCTGAATCATAGCTTTTCTCAATCTCTCTCATGGTGTGCACCCTGTCACACTATGGGTTCAGTCTTACCTTCTGAGAATTTCTGCACAACTTGAGAAGAAGACTGGTGTTCAGCTTGCTAAAGGAGACCATGAACATTGAATTTTTAACAGATGGCGGAACGTTCATTTGCCATACTTTTCAGGGTCTGGCTTACCATCTTTCAATTAGTACAAATGTATGGTTGTTCTTCCTTCTGTTGCCTTCTTTGCAGTCTTGGATTGTCAGTCCCTGACACACCCCCCACACTTAAGGCTAGATCTGGGCTTAATCTAAGAAATCTCCCAGCCTAACAAATCCATACGGTGTTGTATAGAACTACATGGAAATGGGACCAGGGCAGACAGAAATACCTGTTCTCTTTCCCAATCATCCTCTATATAGCCATTAGAAACAAGTACAATTTCATCTCCTATAAGTACTAATTTCATTTTGTAGGTTCTATAGATGAGCTCCATTTTGCTAGTAAAATGTGCCCTTGCATCGTATTTCAGTATATTTCATTTGAGTATTTTATGCTGAGCACTGAAACACAAGGAAGATAGGAACTGCCCAACCCCTAATAAACTCAACAGCAAACCCCTCTTCAAAGTGAACAGGAGCACAGCCTCATTATTCATTTTCTTCCTCTAATATAATGAGTCCAATATGTTTTTACCTTCTGTGGTTGGACTTCTTTCGAATTTCCTCTTGATAGCTGCATAATTCTTCACTGACTCTGGCAAGTTCTTTAAGAGCCTTTATAAATATAAAACCAGTCCTTTAATATAAGCCTTTTAAATGGTATCTCCAGAATTATTTTGAAACTTGTGGTGATTTGCATTTAAGACTCACAGCAGAGGAAAGTAGCACAAGGAGAGATACAAAAATGCCCCCAGGTTATGAACAGAGGTAAAGAGCATGCTGTTAACACACTTAAACAGTGAGAAGACACCCATCAATAGCAAACCAAGGAGGAAGTTGAGACAGTGCCTTGCTGGAAAGCTAAAATCAGGGAGATCAGTTCTTTAGGTTAACGTGGCAAGCCGAAGCCCTCAGTATTTTCCTCACCCTTGTAACTGAAACATGCTCATACTTTACTTACTACATTGAGATCACCAATATAATTCTTGGCATTTTTCTTGGAAGTTTTGATGCTGAGGCTGTCTTCAGGTTCCTCATGGTTCTCCAAGGCCAGATGGTCCATTAACAGAGTATTGTTTCTGCTCTTGGCTCTGGTTTCTTTACAATCATGTCCTGTTTTACTGAGCAAACTCCCTTTTTCCATCCTGCCATTTGCCACATTGTGTTGATAGTTCAGCTCCACTGTGTCACTCTCTTCCGAAGTAGGGGAATGCGTGGACAGCTGCAGCATCTTGCTCTGAATGGCCTTATTATCATGGACGTTCATATTGCTCTCCCTTCTAAGTTTTACCTCCTGGTAAAGCTGAAAAAACAATAGAACCTTCTATTAAATCATGGTACTGTGATGAACTTCATGGTAAAAGAACATATTCATCTTCTGTTTTGAATGATGCTTCACTCAGTAGCACCAAGTAGGAAGATTTTATACATGTGTTTGTTAGGAGAAAAGTGTTGAGTCACACAGTGTGATAGTTCACAGACCGTTATTGTCACAGGATGAAGAAAGGGCTGTTACCGTTCACAGACTCTTTGCCATGGTTTTAATGCACAGCTTCCACCCATAGGATGGGATGGGAAGAGATCTCATGAGGTCAATCACCCTGCCTTGGGCCAGGAGCTGTATGGTTTGTCTTCCAAGGAATATCAGCGCACTATGTGGTGGACACAGCCCTGATCTGATGGATGGGGAATGTGAGGGAATGTGAGGGAAGGAGAGGGCTCTGGCTACGTTACAGCCTGTTAAAGTATATTAGTTTAAGGAGGGGAAGTGAATTCTCATCACATATAGCACCATCTGTGCTAGAGCAGACTCTTCTGGTTCTCAGGCAAGTGGAATTCTTCCCTATGACTGGAGTGATAAATCACTACTGCAGAATGGTATCATTTGGCAAAGTGCTGTCACCCTCTTATCTTCTTTCATGCTATCTGCTGAGATCCAGTGGCTTTATTAGTAAATGAAAAGGTGTTAATTCCTGTCACCTAGCACATTCAAACTAGGGAACTGTGATAAATTATGAATTAGAAAAAATAGCAACATCATAAAAACCTCTTCTGCTTACAGTGTCATTTCCAGTGCCAAGAATCCCACGGCTCTTTATAAACATTCATTCTTAACTTGCTCTTACAAAGAAAGTGCAGAGCAGCCACCTCTGAACAGCCATCTGCCTGCTCTCTCGCAGTGCACAAGGCCATCATAACAGCTTTTGGAAGGACAGTGAAAAAGAAAAACAACACGAAGAACGTGTGGCCATTTCATGGGTGGTGCTGTGGCTTAGAAGTGTTCTCACATTCAGAGACTTGACACTTTACCTCATCCTGGGCTTTCAGATTTCACTCCCAAAGCCCAGCTGCTCATGGAACCTGAGGGCTGAACTTTGTCATTTCCAAGAAATGAGGGCCTCATACAAACAGTATGCAGTAAGAAGGAAGGATACCACCTCATAGCTCAACAATATCATCTCCTAAACCACATAAGTCTTCCTGGAGACATCCAGGAATTAGGTTTTGGTGGGTTAGAGAAAACCACCAAATAAAAACACAAGCTGATAAGGTAGCACAAGTTTTATTGAGGAAATCCCTCTACAGATGCTGATATTTAAAAGGTATCTCCCCTTTTCTCCAGCCATGTGGCTTTTGGCGAAGAAATGTCAGGCAACTGAAATCAAGGGCAGCTACAGACACAGCTTAAGAGAGGACCTTAGGATATCGATAACCTTGGGGTATCATCTGCAGTTTTGTCTGGTCCTGCAGTACCCAGTGATTTATTTCATTCCCTTCCCCTCAGCCCCATTCCATTCTTTATCTTTTTCTGTCTCTGTCACACTTTCCTAATCCATATGCTAATAAAGCACATGGAAAAAACATGGTCTTCGCTGCCATTGTCAGGACTACTAATAGCCAGAATACCTTTTCACAACACATTACCATCATTCCGAAACAGCTCATATACCTAACAAACTGAAATTCAACTACACACACAGATCACATTACTAACTTTTGAAGCATTCTCACCTTGGTGGTGAAATTAGGTAAGACTGCACAGAAATGTCCTAACACAAAAGACAAAATGTGGCAAAGACTATCATACCAAAGTCTGCAAGAACTGCAGGTAAAATATAAGAGAGCTGACATTATGGAGTTATGCTGCAGGCTGGTTTAACGGGCAGTGTATGGCTGCAATTCATTTGGGTCTGATCATTTTCCTTCTCATACTTTCATGTGAGCAATCTCTGCCATACATTCCTGTGTTGCTCAGCCACAGGGCAGTGTTGGCAGAGACCAAGCAAAACTACTCCATGTGTATATTAGAATGAAAAATGTGGAAAGCTCAGTGGTGAAAAAACTTGCTTCTATACGTTGCCAACGCAGATTCAATTTAGGCATTACAGAGTGCCAGAGGGTTCTGCTGCAGGGACAATTTGGGGATAAAAGAATAATAAATAATTACCTTAACTATGTCTGGAAGGAGATGCATTAGAAACGGCAGGGAGTGAGTGTTTGTTAGTATGTGTAAACACAAGTGGTGTCAGGACTTTCATACTATTTGCTGTAGCTGTTTTCTCTACTAAAAGCCGTCCATAAATGGAGCAGGTTCTAGCCAGAACAATTCTGCCACATGCAGCGGTTAATGTATGACGTTCTTTTTAATATTACCATTTTCCCCCAGCAGACCTGTGCCATCTAATTCCTTTTTGCAAGAGAATTATACCTAGATTTTTTGTTACTAAATATGCATTTTCCTAAACCCCATATATGCAGTTGTTCAGCATGTACTTGAAAAAAGCATGTGGCTCATGCCCAGCAGAACTGGCAGCAGTATATACAGCTAACAATATCATAGCAAACTTCACACAAAGTGATGTTTAACCTCCTGCTTCGTATTCATGACTATTAAATGAGCAATTGCAAATACTGCTTAACCCCAGGCTTTGCATCCTACCATCAGCTATTAGAAACTTCCAGTGACAGACAAGAAATAGGATATAATTCAGGAAAAAAATAAACTGAAGCGACCCCTAGTCGCTTCACCCCAAGTCAAAATGTTAGTGTTCAGAGTTTTGTTTAAAAGTACCTCTTCTATTTTCTTCTGCATGACCTTCCATTGACATTCCCATTCTTTCCTTTCGTTGTCAAATCTCTCCAGCAATTCCATCTTCTCTTTATTCCAGTTCCTCTCAGTATTCTCCAGTTGTTTACGCAGGTCCATGGTTACAGTCTGTGTAATAGCAAGAAGATAGCTCTGCTTTTTTTCCTTCTTCCCTGAATGTTTCCTGGAAGTTTATCAGAATAAGTCTTACTTGTGTTTGATTCTAGCTTTCAGGGAAAAAACAACCAAGCAAAACCCCAAAATAATTAACTGAAATGTGCTTGCAGGAGACAGCATCACGCGATCTGGAGTATGACTGGGACATAGACGAATTAAGCATTATAGGACACAAACGCAAGGGCAGAGCGGCCCAATCTGGAAAGGGGAGGAGGGACACGCATCCAGCATCAGAGAATTCAGGAACGTCTGCCACAGCAGGCTCTGTACCTTGGCCACTTCGCATCTTTGCCATCACTCTTCACTATAAACCTGTTTTCAGTGAAATTCGAGTCTGCATGATATTGAAAGGCACTTCAGGACCTTGGGATCCTGATGTCTGCCCTTGAGGGTGAAAGCTATTTGTTCAAAAGATAACTGCAAGTGTAAAGGTATCATGTTTGCTCATGCACTCCTTTCACACAGGCATGTAGCACGACAAAGACTGTGACATTCTTTTGGCAATTGAAGACTGTAAACTTGATACATACAGAAAATTCTCATGGCTATATGAATGCTTCAGCATACACGAACAAAAAGAGGACAGGAAAGCCCATAACAGGTAACAAACATACATATACAGTAGAAAGCATCATTCTACTATATAAAGGACTATAGGTCACTATAAAGAGTTCATGTATTTTGGATTTACAAATCTAAATCTATAAATGTTAGTTCTAGGACCAGCATAGGGAAAACTAGAAACTATTTTCCAATAGCACTAAGTCAAATCTAGCTCAAAACCTTGCTCAGAATATTTAACTAATTTGTGCTTCAGTCTCTCTTTCCTCTTCAGAAGTCTTTAGTATCTTAGTATCTGTGAATGAAAAATGATTAATTGAACCGCTAAATATGTATATTTTAAGGGAAATATTTTGGATCTGCTCATCTGACTTTGGAGCAAAACAGTTACAGTTTTTTATGGGCCTAATGTTCCTCTTGCTTTCTTAGGCTTTACAACAGAAACTCCACTACCATCATTTTACTATGCCAGCAAGGTCAAAATAACACTCATTCGTTCAGTTACGATGGCTCTTGTGGTATAATGACTGGTAGACACACACTGATACTTGAGTTTGTTAACTTTGGCGCTCAAAGCCAGCTGTTGTGTTCCTTAGGTGGACATGGAATCTAGTTCTAGTCACAAAAGGCCTCTGCACTGCTTTGGTCTCCTGCCAGACACCAAGTGTATGGGGAGGCAAATGAATTACCAGAGAGTTAAACTAGGGGTAAGCCCAGTTTACCTTCCTGGAATCTGTTCATTTCTCTGACTGATGGTCAGTGATTGTCTACTCACAGGAACTGCCCATTTTATCGCCCACATTTTCTTTGATACAGTGAAAATTCATTTTTGAGCTCCACGCAAAGTTCTTCCCCATCCTGTATTTTATTGGACAAGTCTTGTTGATTCAGCTGTGGCTACTGTGTAATCACTGCTTACCAGTGTCTGCGTTATTTCAGCTGACTGGGAAGCTGATGCCAAACTTAGGAGTCAGCTTCTTTCATGAACAAGTAAGCAGAAGAGCTCAGCTGACGCCCAATGGGTTACTCAGGTCTTTGGGTCATAGGAAGTCCTGCTACAGGATCTCTCAACTGACAGCCATCATGGGCCCAATCCTAACTCAGGGGCTGCAAAACTGTTTACCCCAAGCAATTTTGGATGGAGGACTTAGAGAACAAGCTGCCTATTCTTCAAACATCTCTGTCAGCCCGTTTCACAATGGCGTAACCATGTCACCATGTAACGTGGTATTGGAGCTTCCTCTTTCAAACTCTGACTCACACCTGTCTTGCAGCTCTGAAATGGCAATCTGTCCCTCAACTATCTACAAACAGATTTCAGACCCTTCTTCTTCCACCTGCCCAAAAACATTCAGGGCAGCTTTATAAACACATAAAACTCTCTGAAACAAAGAGATGCTGAAAGACAGCATAGCATTCTCATCACAAAAGAAGTCAAGCACTGGTTTGCTCATGGCTTCTTAGGGAAGGCAGCCAGGCTATAGATACTGCACCTCTCCAGGCCAATGCTCAACTTTGTGCCAGACTTCAGTAAGTGCTGACCAAAAACAACTTAAAAAAATTCCACTGCACCTAAGACCTGTTGCAATCTAAACATCTATTGCTAATGAAATTTAAAACCATTTCAATAGTTTCTCACTTTGCTAATTCAAAGGTTGCAATTTTTAGTACAGTAATTTTCTTTTTTTTTTTTTTGGTTACATCTATGTCTTTATAACCTTTCAAGACATCTCTGAGAAAGAAACAAAAGTCAACTTTGTGCTCCACTAGAATCCTTCAAATACATGTCAGAAAGATATAGAAAAACCTATAAATGCTGCAAAGTCATGAACAAGACAGGCAGGCATAATCTGTCTACAACTTGCACAAATGGTGATTTTACTAGGGCACTATTAGTAATAATGACCATGCTTCAATTAACAGCACATTACTAGAAAGAAAGTCAATACTATATAGCATATTTTTTTTTTACACATATAAGAATAGATATATAATATGTACTCCTTTCAGGCATGCATATAGCAATGAAAAGGCCCCTGGTGGTTTCTTAGTGCTGGGAAATACTATTGCCATGTTTGCATTCATCTTAACAATTTCCAAGTTGTTTCATATAGGACTCTGATTATAAAAAGAGATTGGAGACCATCAAAATGAAATCAAGTCTTGGAAGAGGTTAGTTACAGAAGTTAAAGACAGTCACTTGTAGCTCTAAGATCCACAAAAAGCTTGTATTGCTTCTTATGCTTCTCTGATTTCCTCTTGACATAAATTCTGAGAATAAAACTCATGGTTATTGATGTTAGCAGCTGGATGACTATACAGTTTCGCTGCTATTGTACAGTGGATAAATTCCTCTGAGAGTTTTAACTCCTATTTCTGTGACTTTTTTTTCCCCTTTTCCCCTTTTTTTTTCTTGGTGTTTTGGGTTTTTTTGTTTTTGTTTGTGTTGTTTTGTGTTTTGTTTGGTTTTTTTTTTTTTTTTTTTGCGGGGGGAGGGTGTTGCTGTTTTTTTCCCCTACTAGCTATAAAGTCCAATTTGTCGTCCTGGTAGTATACCCTCTGTCTGTATAGTGCACCGAGATGTCCCCCTGGGTATTTCACATGGCTTAAGCAACCCAAAAGGATGTAAAATGCCACATTATAATTTGCTGTGTGGATCAGAACCATATCTGTGCTCTTGCAGTATTAGCACTTTCTGCATGTCCTAGACAAGGTCAGAAGCTCATTACAGCAATCAAATTCAAGCAAATAATCAATTTTGTCTACATCAGCTGCATTTTCCCTTAACTTTTCCTTTAGCCTTCCCTCCTCTCAAGCAAAAAATATTTTAAGCAACTATTTGATGTTAATGTTATTATTCCCGCATGTCTTGCCTGTGCCCTTTTTATCCACATATTAAAAATGCAAAATAGTTTGCAAGCAACCTCTATCAACTTCTGAAAATAATCTGCAGTGACATCAGCTGAGATGTTATTTTTCAACAGAGATTAATTAGATTGGATGTGTACAACCATTCAGATACACAAATCTTCCCTTGATTTTACAGGAAAAAAAGTGATTAAGTTATATTTCCAACAGTGCTGTATTTTGGATGACTAAGGAAATTGTAAATTTATGTATTTGTTCAATTATAAAAGTGTGCCACGTGTTACAATATTGTGCACTTTATACATAAAAAGAAACTACAATTGAGTGAGAGAGTGAAAGAGAGAGAAGGGAAAGAAAGAAGAAAGATAAATGAGAGAGAAGCGAGAAAGTGAGAAAGTGAGAAAGTAAGAAAGAAAGAAAGAAAGAAAGAAAGAAAGAAAGAAAGAAAGAAAGAAAGAAAGAAAGAAAGAAAGAAAGAAAGAAAGAAAGAAAGAAAGAAAGAAAGAAAGAAAGAAAGAAAGAAAGAAAGAAAGAAAGAAAGAAAGAAAGAAAGAAAGAAAGAAAGAAAGAAAGAAAGAAAGAAAGAAAGAAAGAAAGAAAGAAAGAAAGAAAGAAAGAAAGAAAGAAAGAAAGAAAGAAAGAAAGAAAGAAAGAAAGAAAGAAAGAAAGAAAGAAAGAAAGAAAGAAAGAAAGAAAGAAAGAAGAAAGAAAGAAGGAAGGAAGGAAGGAAGGAAGGAAGGAAGGAAGGGAAAGAAAAAGAGAGAGAGAAAGAAAGAAAGAGACTCGAGTGCTCAGAATGCTACCTGTCATCCCTGTTCTGCTGATATATCTGTGCCTGCTCTGAAGAAACTGACTGAACTAATGAAGTCTTTCTCTAAGAATGAAGACCATATATAACATACACGGACACCACATTACATATAAATAACATTAGAGAGACGTTTAAATAACTGTTTGCCACATTAGCAATTTGCTTTGTTTTTTAATCTTAACTGTTCAAAGCCACTGATTTAAAACAAACCATAACCATACCTTTCATGGAATAAGAAATCCTTTAGTTTTTCAGTCCATTTCTAAACAGCAGTGAAAGCAATGAAATGCATAGCTAGCTGGGATCCAGTTCTGCGAATCTTGATCTTTAAAAGAAATAAGAAAGCTAAGCAAGACACAACCTTTCAACGGGGGCAGCATTTGCAACTCTTTGAATAACTCCGCAACTTTTGCAAACTGAAAAACAGTTCCGTTCAGCATCATCCCAGCAGCTGGCTTCCACGTGACGTCAGTGCACGGAGGATGGTTTTAAAGCCATCTCTTCCAACCCCCAGCTCTGTAACTTTATATCTCCTCATATTTTGTGTAAACAACTCCAAGTCCAGGACATTTTTAGGTTTTATAGTGCAGTCCAGTCTTTAAAGCTTGCCAAAGCAGCCAGTGTTAATACTAAAGCTATGACAATAGGCAATTTTAGGTTTCTTTTATTAGCGTCCATGTTGTAAAGGAAGATTTTTTTCTGT